AAAAAAAAAGAAAAGAAAACCAGAATGGCCTCTTTGTAAATTTTGAGTCAGAGTCTCACTCTGTTATCCAGGCTGGAGTGCAGTGGCACCATCATGGCTCGCCACAGCCTCGACTTGCCGGGCTCAGTGATCCTTCTGCCTCAGCCTTCCAAGTAGCCGGGACTGCAGGCGCACGCAGCCACACCTGACTGATTTTTTGATTTATTGTAGAGACAAGGTCTCGCCATGTTGCCCAGGCTGGTCTGGAACTCCTGGGCTCAGGCAGTCCTCTTGCCTCAGCTTCCCCAAGTGCTGGGATTACAGGCGTGAGCCACCATGCCCGGCAGAAGGGCCTTTCTTCTCCATAATTCTACTAAGGGTGCTGCGCATCTTTGGTTTGCCAAAGGGCTGTTTCTCTCCCCCGCACTCCTCACCTACCTTTCTTTTTCATGGTAAGAGACAGCGAAGAAATGGCTTACAGTGAGTCAGCACACTTGTTCCGAATTGGCCAGACAGTAAATAATTGAGATTTTGTGGGCCGGTCTCTGTCACCGCTTCTCAGCATTGTTGTGGGGGTGACTTAATTCAGAAGCTTATGGGTACAGGTGTGAGCCAGTAAAATCTTATTCACGGATCCTCAGATTTGAGTTTTATATAATTTCCATGAGTTGCATATCAAGAAATAATATCCTTCTTTTGATTTTTAAAAACCATGGAAAAATGTAAAACCATCCTTAGCTTGCAAGCCATATAAAAACAGGCAGAACCGAGGCAAGAGGATTGCTTGAGTTCAGGAGTTCGAGACCAGCCTAGGCAATATCGTGAGACCTGTCTCTACAAAAATTAAACAAAACAAAACAGACAACCCCAAAACAAGCTGCAGGCTCCATTTGGCTTTCAGTCCACAGAGCACCGACCCCTGGCTGAGATATTCAAAACCATTGGTGTTGAATGAAGAGTGCGTTATTTTACTTTAGAGTTTTATGATCTGACTTTTCCCTGATAGTATACCTCGTAATTTCTATGTTATATGCTCTATGCACATTGGTCTTTTACGATTTAAAAAGAAAACCTGCCATCTGAGCTTATCTTATATATGAGATGGTTGGTTACGCCATTCCTACCTCTTTCTGTGTGTGTCTGTGAGTGCTACTGTTACTGACAACAGACCCAGTGTTTCGAGAAACGATATTTGTGATTGTGCACTCAGTGGAATGCTGGCGGGGAATATGTTTTTCCATTCTGTGGAAATGAAAATTCAAAGATCTTACAAAAATGGGCACGCTCATATGTTTGACGTATGTATTAAGTCTTGGTTTGGCTGTTTCAAGCCCAAGTCGCATATTTTAGCGGATCCGAATTGTAAAAAGGAACTAATATAGTTCTTTAACATAGATCACCTAGAAGTTGATTTTAAACTACCTTCTTCTAATACTTTAGTGTCAGATTATGGGCAGCTCTAATTTTACTTCCAGATAATGTAACTGTAGATGGATTTTTAAAAAATTACGTGTATACTTTTACAGAACTCTGCTGTAGAAGCATTGAGATTTGCATTGAGATGTTTACCTTCGTTTTCTGGTTTGTTTGCTCATTGGCTTGTGTAATGGATTCTGTTGACATTTTGAAGCTGTCAGAATGAATGCCTTATCATTTTTCTTGAGGGGGGGGAGAAGAAACCCAGTTAGTAGGTAATTGTTTCCTCTTACATTTAACTGTAGGAGGTAATCTTTTGAGTTCCAGTGGGTGGCTACATTTCATTGTTTTGACTCTTTTTTCATTCCCCCAAATGAAACTTTCCCTTTAAGCTACAGAGTTAGGAAGCAAAGTCCGGGGAGAATGGAGCCACCTCAGGCTGACCGCAATGGGATGGGACCTACCGGCTTACATAGGGGTTGTCAGAATGAGTGTCCCTCGCGAAGGATGAAGGGAGACCCTCATGCTTTATTTAGCTCATGTTCCCGAGCACATACTGGCCATGGGAGTAGGAATGTGGAGGGCAGCTCCGAAGTGGAAGGTGGTCACACACAAATAACCGGAAGTGGTGTCTCATTCTGCGGGGACTGTGGACCCTACTGTCCCAGGAAGTCACCTTTCCTGCTCACCCATTTCAACCCAGGAAGTCGGATGCAGTGGAAATGGATGAGATGATGGCGGCCATGGTGCTGACGTCCCTGTCCTGTAGCCCCGTTGTGCAGAGTCCCCCTGGGGCCGAGGCCAACTTCTCTGGTGAGTGAGACTTAACTGGGTTCTGGGCATGGCGGAAGCCATAACGGACATCCTCTGTATTGAGCAGCTCATCGCCAAAATCGCCGGCCTGGCAGTAGGATTTCTGGGAGGCTCTTCTCACCGGCGTCCCAGGCTGGCTGAATGCCAGGGAGGTCGATGCTCCCGTTCTTTTTCCTCAGTTTCCTCATCTGGGGAGAAGCTCCCTGGTGCATTGTGAAGGTGACTGAGTGTGGGTCCGAGTCACAGTCACCACCTGAGTCAGTTCTTCTGGGCGAGTGAGTGCGGGGCTCGCTTGGGAGGGGCCCGAACGAGGCCAGTAGGGGAATATTTAGTTCACAAAGCATAGGAATATATGGAATAGTTCCCTTGTGGCCTCAGAAAATGCATGCCCCCTGTTCCAAGCACCTAACTCAGCCTCATAAATTAGTGTGGGCCTATGGGATGAGGACTTGAAATAAATGCGCTAAAATCTAAAATAAACCTAATCGCTGAATAAAAACCAGTAGTTTCAAGGCCAATTTATAAATCAAAACAAAATTCTTATACTTGTGACCCCATAATACCTTATCAGTAATTTGGAGAGAAGAAAGGTTTCTGGGTGTCTGTTGGTAGTTTGACAAGACTAGTAATGAACCTGAATTTTTTTGTTTTGTTTTGGAAATTTGTTCATTTATGGGGTTGGTTTACCTTATTCCCAAGGAAGAACTTTTCATGGGTGAGACCTAGCTGAATTGCAAACTACTTAAAAGCCTGTAGAAAAATGTGGAGTTGGCTCTGAGCACATACCAGGAGGAAAGTGGCCTTTTAAAGAATCCCTCATAAGTAATCTTCCTAGATAGAAAGTAAATATACAGGAGAGAAAAAGCAAATTTATTTACTTGACTCAGGCCTGTTGTCAGCGACACGGCTGCTAGAGGAAGTCATTGTGCTATGAAGACACCTAGTGGTGAAACCTAGGATTGCATGCCACCTCTGTGAGCACAAGCCATTT